TGCAGAGTTCTCAAGCTCTGCAAAACCATCAAGACCCACTGCAATTCCGTCTGCAACAGAGTGACACAACTGGAAAAACGCTAGCTTACTCCGTTTCTTGAATTCCATTTTTTCCTCTTCCGATTTCGCCGCACGCTCGGCTTCGTCGCCTTTCTCGTCCGGTCGGTAATACTCCCACAAGCCGACCTCCTTCGCCCTCCTTATGAATTTCAGTCGCCACGTGCTGTAGTGCTCGCCGTGGAACCGCTGGGCTTCGCTCAGCCCCATGGTGGGCTTGGTCACCACCCCTCCTTGCGCCAGCATTTCCAGAAGTGCCTTCACTTGGGGATCTCCAATACTCACAGAGGAGCCCGAACTAGCTTCCGATTGTCCGCCGACCATCTCGAAAGCTTCGCTCTGCACTTAAGAATGCTTAAACGCCACTTAAACCAGCTCTGATACCAGTTCTCAGGATTGTAAACACCTTAGTCGGCAATAGTCTACTTGCTATCGCCTATCGTGTTCTCCACGATCTCACGAATCCAATGATATGCGCAGCTCTGCTTGAAGTTGTCAATACACACTTCAGCAATTTTCAGAATCTCCAACTGATCAATGTTGTATTTCCAGAATGAGTACAAACAGGTTTATAGTCAAGCAAGACACAAAATGCGATTCGTAACTTCACTTGTTTCCCAAGTAACCGCGTACGCCTCGTTTCACCCCTAGTCGCACACGCAACCGAACCGAATTCGGTGAACACTCCTCAAGTCCGAATCTGGAACCTTCTCGAACGCGCCTTGGTCTCAAACCACATTTTCCCCTCGTCAACTTCAATCTCGATGCTTCTTCCACCTTCTCACACATTCCTTCTCGATTTCTCTCTCCCTTCTCACGTCGTAGGCCGATTTCCACCGCTTCTCTCTAGAATAGTCCACACGCTTCCGTCGCCTTCATTCTGCCGTCTCGACCGTATTATGTGCGCCGTCATTAGTGTGGTTCCGCGAACCACTCCAACACTAAGGAGTGTGCATTGGTTCGGTAGATCCACGAGCCAGGTTGGGACGTTCGGAATCAGCCAAATATATATTTTCCGTGCCTAGCCGTACTGATGTGGTTAGAATGCCATCGAGGTGACAACGAGATTGCCATACCATAAGAGGGCTGGCAGCTTGTGGGGGCACAAGAAGCTTTCAGGCGGGAAACCTAACCTCGAGACTACTTCCATTGCTAGTGTGGGGATACGATTAAAATGACAATGGCTTCGCCTCATTGTGATTGGGCTGACAGTTTCTAGGACTGCAGAAAGCTGTGAGCGGGAAAGCCAATTTCCGTGTAGTTTCCGTCGTTGGCCTCTGCGACCGATTTTGAGAACTTGTGAGTTGAGGACTTGGGAGGGAGTGGAGGGAGGGAGAACCCTTGGGAATTGAAGCTTGGGCGATGTTCGGCTGCCACAGGGGATCGACCGAGGGATGCGGGGAGGGATCAGATTTGCAGCTAGGGTTTCTAGTTCGGGGTGGTCAGCTCGGAGTCAACCGTCGTTGACTCCAAGTCTGGAGTCCAGGCGGAAGTGGAAAGTTTGGGGGAAAAGGCGCGGAGGAGCGACTCGGGAAATGGGGGCCCACGAAACTGCAGCCGCGCGAAACGAAACTTCGCGAGCTGAACAGTTTTCCCGAATTTACTGTTGCGATTTGTTTGGGCAGCTTGCTCTATTTGAATTCTGTACACCAATTAATTCAAGGGTGCAAAGGACGATTCGACCTTAGTAAATTTTTGCGAGTTCATTTCAAATATTTGTGTTTAGCATTATAATTTCAATGTCCGGGTTATTTGTTTTTTAGAGTGTGGAGTAAACGTATACACGAAAATTGTGGAAGGGGCCATGGATTTTTCATTCCCCGTGGGCTGAGACCACTCACGGGAATGCACTTTCCATGCCCTGAACACTAGGGCGGAGTTTTTCCGCCATGGGGGGGAATTGGGGGGAGGACGCGACGCGGGTTCAAGCCTAGCGCGGGGTTCGCGCCGCGTTTTAGGCTCATGTCCGACACCTTTTTCACAAATTTCAGAAAGAATTGCCGCGGCGCGGGCTTTGCCCTCGTGACTTTTTTTCATCGCGGTCTAATTTTTGTATACCCCATAGCGATGCGGATCCACCTTCTGTCCCGCGCTTCCCGCGCTCCCGTCAATTCGTATCGGAAAACTGAGTGTAGCTATTAGTGTACGGTCACCTCGAAAATGTTGCCAGGATTACACACGGTCGCCTCCAGTATTCGTGGAACCAGACCTCAGTTTCCGAGGGAGCCCAAACCTACGTGGAAAGGTTTGGCTCGAACCTAGCCATGAGCATTTTATCACCGACAACATTTGAGCGCCAAATGGCAGTCAGGTAACTGCACTTGTAAACCGCCCGCGATTCTGTACTTACGCTCTTTTCCGCGTCGCAGCGCGAACATGCGCCAATACGGTGTGGTTTTGAAGCAATCACGAGAATGTGGACGTGTCGGGGGATCTGTCATTCATGCGCCAAATGGCAGGCAGGTACACGGCTAGTTTACACATTGACACGACAGATATTGTCATTACACGTTATCAAACACGCACCAATAGCCAATTGCCATTTCAGGGAAGTGAATGAACATTTGATTCCATGCGATTGCTGTATGTGGCGCCGAGCGAGCAACGACCAACGGGGTGACTCCAACACTTCAAAATTGTTCACGCTTATTATCCCCAAGCGTGAACGTAGTCCCCAACCACGCAACATTTGTACCAATAGGAGGCCGCCGTTTCGTGCACAACGCTGAACAAGTTTTCGTGCATTGAGCATCATACACTTGCTCATTAACTAGACGCGTGCATTGACCAACGATGAGCATACAACGCAGCACTTCCATGCTGATTCTTATCGACAAATAGAGTGCATGCCACTTGGCTTGCACGAAATCAGCTGGCGACCGCCCGTACCAATGTGCTCCCGCCGTGTAGACTGGGTGAATGTCCACGTAAATACATTCTCATCTCTACGATCGTCTAAACAACACAACGTAATCATGCACCAACGATGGTACGCCAACACAACACATGTAGTGCCCAACGTTATCAAGCCACGTCGGCTTAGCTGTCAGCTCATGGCTATAATTCACAGATATTCGTAGCGCGAACTCCAGCCAATCGGAGCGTCCCGTGTTCAATGCCGAACAATCCATCCAACTCTTCATGGTAGGGGTCCTTGCTCATCACCCTATATTGATTGTCCGAGCTCCGTAGCTTAACTATTCGGCGCTTCACCAGTCCCTTCCACTAACAAACACCTAAAACCTGTTCTCTCGCTTATTAGCATTCTAAGGAGCTGCGAACCCTCCACCAGTTTTCTTTCTGTCAGCTTCCTACAAATCCACAGCACACTCATCTTCCATCAAGCCCAATGCCTACCGGCAGGCCGGACGACCCCGTAAATCTCGGAGACGATGACGACGAAGAACTCGTCGAGCTAGATGCTCAATCTGAGCACGTAGAGGCGGGCGTTGAAGATGCTGCAAAGGGCCCTGGTGCCCGCACCCGTACGCGTAGTAGGGGCGGACAGCAGTCTAAACGCGCACGGACGACGGGTGCAGAACAGCATCACCCTAGTGGCCCGTCCACACGGTCGCACCGTTCTAGAGTCACTTACGAACAATACACGTTCGCTCCTCTGCCTCCACCCCGGAATGCGTTACCCCCGGCACAGGATCTCATAGCCGATATGGCCCGGAGCACCAAGCAGCTCCCGGGCATAAACGCGTCGTGTTCACCAAAGAAAGAACCATTGGTGAAGAGTGGAAACTGGCCCACCAAGTTAATTTCGAAGTGGCATGGGTTCGGCACATCCTTGAACGTGGCCGACACACTCCACATCCAGGATGCGGCACCAATCACCGACACCGCGTTGGATTTCCACAACATGTAAGTACCAGGATAAAAGATTACCATGTTTGCCATGTTACTACCGGTTGCGCTTTAACAACTTCGACTATTTCATACTAGAAAAAACCCTCCCTCTGTCCTACCCTCCCTGTACACCGTCATTCTACCTGCGCAGTGTCCTCGACATTCGCCATCCGAGACTGGAGAACGGGAAAACCTGGATCGCCCTCGACGTCAAAGCTTATGACTACATGGCGTCACAGAAGAAGCTTATCGCTTGCTGCGAAGACAAGGACACCTTCTTGCGCTTCGACTATGTGGCTATTTTTGCTGCGGCTGAGTACGTTTTGCGGTTACATGCGTTGCGTCACCACGGAAATCCACTTCTAACATCCGTGTCTTGTAAATTCCAGGTTCCATTTCAGCCTGTTTGTCATCGAAAACGCCAAGACGCTTTTCGCACCGTCCGACGGTGGGGACGCACCACCACCGCCACGGCTATGGCTGTACGACTCAACAGGCCACCACGCCGGCAACACCGCCGTCGTCACGAATGTTCGGTAGTAAGCATGCGATTTGCGTGCACGCGCTGTATTCTTGTCACTACCAATCTAACCAAACTATCCTGCGTTTCTTCGGCAGTATCCTTGCATCGGAGCTGAATCGTGTCTTTCCGGAATTGGCACGATCTGAGGTCGAGTCTCGGATCGGCTCCTTGCCATATCAAACTCTTGATGTAAGACTGTTAATTACCCTGTGTAAAGTCTGAGTTATTCATTCTTGTAAGAGCGCTACTAATATTCCCGCTCCACTTATCACGCGTATTATGTTGACAGCTGACTTGGGAGATCCCGCGGCAGCCCGAGAAGAGCCTGGACTGTGGCATCTACGCTGGCATGTACCTTCATACGCATGTGGCCACCGGCTTCCAGCGCCTTGGTGGCCCGATCGCCTTCACGACCTCTCCTGCCCGTTATCGCCGCGACTGGCGGGCAGGCATGTGCGCCCATATCTCTGGGAATCTGCTGTCTGCACTTCAGACAGCGGGAATCGAGCTTCCACCACAGTATCTCACGACGAGGTGCCCCGTACCGATAAGTGCCGAAGTGTCGGAGATGAGCGGTGTTGTCCGGGAGACGAGCTCCGAAGTGCAGCTAATGAAAAAGGAGGTCGAGGCTCTGCGCGCCGATTACACAGATCTGCTGGCCAAGTTCGACAACTTGAGCCTGCAGCTGTGCGAGCGTGTGGCAGCGCTCAAGAAGGGCCGGGCGGCGGCAACCAAGGAGGGCATTGTTGGCGCCCCGGGACAGCCAAACGCCGGCTCGCCCTCCAAGCAGGTGGATTCTTGCCCAGATCCGGGTCTCAACGACACCGCGGCCTCCCCCCTTGCAGGTTTCAGGGTTGCCTCGCAGCTTGGGGCCAACCAAGAAGCAGCGCCGCAGCAGCAGAACGTGACAGCATCGCGCGAAGGCCAATACGCCCCCGCATCGCCATCTCCAGCCCCCGCTCATGCAACTGCGCAGCAGCCGAGCGTGCCACCAGCACGGGACGCGGTGTACTTTCCTCATGCGGCATCTCGACCACCCGCGCCGCAGCGTCCAGTCGCTCCTATCCAAGCTCCTCCACGCCCACCAGCGCCCATATTCCATCAAGGGTACTCTCCCTTGCCGCAATATCCGCCACCACCCGGGATGCCGTACTACTGGCCGGGAGCTCCACCGCAGCACGCACCCCCCCCGCAGCAGTCATACCCACCTCCCGCATTCCCGAGTATGAGTGGCGCTGGTGAAAGCGGCGTGGATTGGCCGCGCGACTCTGGAGTCGAAGCAGGAGGCGCCGGAGCAGCTTCCGACGCCTTAACCCAGGGGAGGGTTAAGTATAAATACACGGGCGTTACAGGCGGCGGAGATGCCTGGCATGCCAAGCTTCTGATGCCCACCCCGTCCAATCATATCCACATGGGGCCGTTCCCGAGCGAGGAGGAGGCAGCAAAGGGATACAAGGCTGCAGCTCTGGTGGTTAGGCCGCCGGGCTGTCGCATCCAGCGAAGTATTGATCTCACACCGTCCGAGCAGCAGTTGCTAACCGGGTGCACCCGGAAACATGTGGAGATCCTAGCTGGGGCTGGACTCTAGCACAGGTGGCGCGAATGGCGGCAGCTTATGCCAGAAATTGGGGCGGCGCCCCTTCTGCAGGTACCTCACGCTCCAACGATGCTGCCTCCAAGGCAGCAAGCAGCTCCGAGCAGCAGCCAGGCCACTCAACCGCCGGGCATGGGCCTGTCTGGTGCTCAGGGTGGGCACCAGCTGTACACGGACGACAATCAGCACTACAACTGAGGTACTATATACTCGTTTTGCCTTTCGAAACAACCATGAAAAATAAAAACTAATGCCCCTCCAATTGCGTGTGTGCATGTGTGAAGGGCACAGGAGAAACAACTTAGTGCTGCAGCTAATACTGTTAAAGTCGTAGGCACAAGTAGGAGCCATAGCTAGGTAAACCCTAGCTAGGCAAGAGAGAATTGAGCAAAAAGGAGGGTGTTCACTAGTAAGCAGCAGGATACATATAGGAAACCCTAAGGAGTTGTACTCGCTATAGAGTACCCCACTGCAGGCTAGAGAACAATAACATTCTGACACACCCCCATAGTCAAAGTGGGGTATAATCAGCAGAGCAAGTAGTCCTAGAGCAGGTTCACATGCACAAGTAAAGCTAGAGGCAGTCGCAGAGGGCAAGTGAGGAGGAGGAGGAACTGTGGAAGGAGAGAAGATGGGAGGCAACGACTGAAGCTGCAGAGGCACGGGCACAGGAGCGGCTGACTCAGTGGCTACCGAAGCAAGGGCGACGGACTACTGGAGTAACTGGCTCCGCGGCTATAGACGAGCGGCAGGAGCAACGGACCCACTGGCGACTGGTGCAACAGGCTCACTGGCTACCGAAGCAAGGGCGACGGACTACAGGCGCTGCAGGCGACACGACAGCTACCTTCACACAACCTCCCCCAGCTGCCCCACGCCCCTCTCACACACCCCCTGCTCAAACCCTAGCTCCACTCCCACAGCACCCCCCTTTCACACACTAAACCCTAGGCTCCCACACACCCACCCCCCTCAGCGACAGCTGCAGCAGTGGGAGACAAGGGAGGAGGAGGAGCAGGGGAGGAACACACAACCGCCACCCCCACACCCGCCACCCCCATGCTCGGCACCAACACCCCAACCACCGCGGAATGCAGGGGGGGGGGGGGGGGGGGGACGGGACGGGCCGCAAGGACAGGCCGCGGGCTGCTCCAGGGGCGGCTGCTGCAGGTGCGGGCTGCTCCAGGGGCGGCTGCTGCAGGTGCGGGCTGCTCCAGGGGCGGCTGCTGCAGGTGCGGGCTGCTCCAGGGGCGGCTGCTGCAGGTGCGGGCTGCACCAGGGGCGGCTGTTGCAGGTGAAAGGGAGGAGGGAGGGGGGGGGAGGAGCGCGGCCCCCAGGGCGCCACGAAGAAGCAGGGCGCGGGCCCCCCGAGGGCGCCACGGCGGGGGACGGGAGGGGGGGGCCGCGCACGGGCCCACGAGGGCGGCTCGACGGGCAATGGGAGGGGTCGCGCGCGGGCCCCCAAGGCGCCGCGACGAGGCGATGGTTGGGGCCGGCGCGCGGGCCCCCAAAGCGCCGCGACGAGGCGACGGGAGGGGCCTGCGTGCGGGCCCCCAAGGCGCCGCGACGAAACGACGGGAGGGGCCGGCTCGCGGGCCCCCAAAGCGCCGCGACGAGGCGACGGGAGGGGCCTGCGTGCGGGCCCCCAAGGCGCCGCGACGAGGCGACGGGAGGGGCCTACGTGCGGGCCCCCAAAGCGCCGCAACGAATCAGGAAACCGCCGCGCGCCTCGGGGCGCACGGCGGGCAGAAAACCGCCACGCGCCCCGAGCGCGTGGCGGGAAGAAAATTCGTAGGTCGCGCCAGTAGGGCAGCGGAAGTAGGTGGGCCCACAGGCCAGGAGCGTAACCGCTCTGATAGCATGTTAAATTCGTAGGCACAAGTAGGAGCCATAGCTAGGTAAACCCTAGCTAGGCAAGAGAGAATTGAGCAAAAAGGAGGGTGTTCACTAGAAAGCAGCAGGATACATATAGGAAACCCTAAGGGGCTGTACTCGCTATAGAGTACCCCACTGCAGGCTAGAGAACAATAACATTCTGACAAATACCATGTCTGTGGTTCCACCATGTTTACCAAGTTTTTCTACATGCATGCTAGTTTGTGTTAGGTTTATTCATTTAGAGGCCATGAAAGATTAGGACGTACTTTGAAAGCATAGTGTGCTAAAGTTGTGATCTGAGGGCATCGCTGACTTTACAAAGTTCATATATTTTTTAATACACGCACCAGTATTGTGGCTTTGATGAATGCTTCATCGGTGAGTTTTTGAGCACAAAAGACCCTGTGCTTGTCAGATATATATGACTTAGCTGATGTAGGCTATAGTGGGGTAGCACATATGGGGTACACATTTCTAGGGTTTGTACTTGTACCCAACTTTTCCCTTAGTCATTTCATTCCTTGTAATTCTCACATGGTATAGAGCAGGTTCCCTAGTGGGAACGTTTCCTAGGGCCCACCACTCAAAATCGATTTTTTTTTTTTACCTGCCCGGAGCGCGCTTCGCTCCTGCCCGAGTCGCGCCCCGTGTGCCCTCCCTACCGTCGCGTCCCCAGCCCCTAGCGGCCTGTCGCGCCCTCCTAAAGCCCCTCGCGTCTCCTCTCACGGCCCCTCGCGGCCCCCCTTACGGCCCCTCGAGGCCCCTTCGCGGCCCCTCTCACGGCCCTCCGCCGCCCTTCCCGGACCCTCTCACGGCCCTTCGCGGCCCCTTACGGCCCCTCGCGGCCCCCTTCGCGGCCCCTTGCGGCCTCTATGCGGCCCTGTCGCCGCCCCTCACGGCCCCGTCGCCCCCCCCCCCTTTAAGGCCCCGTCGCCGCCCTTCGCGGCCCCGCCGCCACCTTCCGCGGCCCCTCAGGCCCCTTCTTGGCCCCGTCGCCGCCCTTCGCGGCCCCTCACGGCCCCGTCTCGGCCCTGTCTCGGCCCCGTCGCCGCCCCTTACGGCCCCGTCGCCGCCCTTCGCGGCCTCCTCAGGCCCCTTCTCGGCCCCGTCGCCACCCTTCGCGGCCCCTGCAGCAGCAGCCGTCGCCGCCCCTGCAGCAGCAGCCATCGCCGCCCCTGCAGCGGGAGCCGCCGCCACCGGTGCCGCCGCCAGCAGCGGCCACCACCATCGCTCCCGGGGCCGCAGCCGCCGCTGCCGCTGACTGCAACTGCCGGTGCGCCTCGGCCCTGCCGGCGCGCCTCGGCCCGTCCCTGCCGACGCGCCTCGGCCCGACCCTGCCGGCGCGCCTCGACCCTGCCGGCGCGCCTCGGCCCGTCCCTGCCGGTGCGCCTCGGCCCTGCCCCACCACTTGCGACCCTCTGCCCTGGTAAGAGCGTCGCCGAACTGCTGCCACTGCTGCTGCTGCCCCTAGCATACTGCTACTGCTGTCATGGCTACCCCCAGCGTTCTCGTCTTTGATGCTGAGGGTCGGGCTGTTGACTTTGAGGTCTGGGTCGATGATCTGCTGCTTTTCCTACAGTGCAATAGGAAAGACGGTCTCTCACTGTTCGATCTCACGTCTGGCGCCTCTACTGCCCCTGCTGCCGATGCTGACAGCACTGTTCGCTCCCAGTGGGCCACACGCGATGCTGCTGCCCGTCTTGCTGTGCGTAGTCACTTGCCGTCCTCTGAGCGCGCGCACTTTAGTCAGTACAAGAGTGCTAAGACCTTGTACGACGCTGTCATTGCACGCTACTCTTCCCCTGCCACTGCTGCTCTTAGCCGCCTCATGCTGCCGTACCTGTTCCCTGACCTAGCCGCCTTTCCCACAGTCGCTGACCTCATTACGCACCTTCGCACTAGTGACGTCCGCTACCGCGCTGCGCTTCTTGCTGAGTTCTGCGCCAAGAACCCCCCCCCCATGTACATCACCCTCTACTACCTAGTCACCCGGCTCCCTGACTCCCTTCGCTCAGTCAGGGACCACTTCCTCTCGGTTTGCCCCACCACACTCACCGTTGACCTCCTCGAGGAGCGCCTCCTGGCAGCAGAGAAGAGTATAGTCGCTGTAGGAGCCTCTCGTGGTGACCCTCGTGCCCCCTTCTTTGAGGGGTGCTCCCCCTCCCCCCTTTTGCCCTCTGTTGCCTCTGCTGCTGCCGTCGACTTAGTTGGCACCGAGTCAGTCGGCGCTGTGTCTGCCCCTAGCGGGAGACGCCGCACCGGCAAGGGCAAGGGGGGCAAGGGCGCTAGAGGGGCTGGCGGGGGTGGTGGAGGTGGCGGTGGAGGCGGCGGAGGGAGTGGGGGTGGCGGTGTTGAGAGAGTGATGAGAACAAGGAGCCATAGCTAGGTAAGCCCTAGCTAGGCAAGAGAAAGTTCAGGCAAAAAAGGAGGGTTTTACTAGCAGCAGTTGGGATACATATAGCAAACCCTAGTTGGGTTGTACCCGCTATAGAGCACCCCACTACAGGCTAGACAATAACATTCTGACACACCCCCATAGCCAAAGTGGGGTGTAATCAGCACAATGAGCAAGCAGGCATAGAGCAGGAGTTCACAATAGCGAGCAAAGCTAGAGTTAATCACAGCGGGCAAGTGAGGAGGAGGAGGAACTGTGGAAGGAGAGAAGATGGGAGGCAACGACTGAAGCTGCAGAGGCACGGGCACAGGAGCGGCTGACTCAGTGGCTACCGAAGCAAGGGCGACGGACTACTGGAGTAACTGGCTCCGCGGCTATAGACGAGCGGCAGGAGCAACGGACCCACTGGCGACTGGTGCAACAGGCTCACTGGCTACCGAAGCAAGGGCGACGGACTACAGGCGCTGCAGGCGACACGACAGCTACCTTCACACAACCTCCTCCAACTGCCCCACACCCTCGACACACACCCCCTGCTCAAACCCTAGCTCCACTCCCACGGCACCCCCCTTAAACCCTAAACCCCAGGCACCCACACATCCACCCCCCTCAGCGACAGCTGCAGCAGTGGGAGACGAAGGAGGAGGAGGAGTAGGGGACGGCGCACACAACCGACACCCCCACAACTGCCACCCCCACACTCCTCACCCCCAAACCCTAAAACGGGTGGGACGGGGCAGGAGCGCGGGGGACGGCTAGGGGGGAGGGGGGGGGGGGGGGGGGGGGGGGGGGGGCTCCCCAGGGCGCCGCGACGGACAGGCAGGGGGCACGCGCGGCTCCCCAGGGCGCCGCGACGAAAGGGCGGGGGGCCGCGCGGGCTCCACAGGGCGCCGCGACGAGCAGAGCGGGGGCCGCGCGTGCTCCC